GTGTGTGTGTGTGTGTGTGTGTGTGTCATGTGTGTGTGTGTGTGTGTGTGTGTGTGTGCCTGCGTGCGTGTGTGCGTGCGAGTGTGTCATGTGGTGTGTTAACCTAATATTTTATAACGCACGCCTATATACAAGTATAGTCCATGTGTATGTACAGGTACTGCATTCTAAGCATACATATATTTATAGGAAGCACTAACATATATCTTTACAAACACACACAGACGAACAGGCCACGGACCCACGTCTTGACCACCATGGATGAGGATGTCGGTGGCACTCTGGTTGCCGGTTGTTAACCCCTCACTTCTCCACCGAGACACATACCAAACTCCACCAAAAATAGTGTAAACTTATAGTGATTGATCTGTGACTGATATAAAAGGACTGGGTAATAATGTTGGACAGTGATCTAGAGGCTAGTGGTGTAGGGAGGGTCGCCGCCACTTGTGACCTTCACACGGCACCGGCTATGATTGATATGTTACATCTGCATTTTTCTGCATTACGATTCGGATTACACAATCTAAGTATAAATATTTTGGATTATGGTTAGGATTACAGTGTTTTTTCTTGATTACTGTACATTAAGATTATGACTGAATTGGTTTAAGTACATTTGACCTGATAACGATTTCCCTGGAGTACAATTACATTCGCGGTTACAGCTACGAGAAATTAGGTAACATTTGATTATATAGAATTAGAAAAAAAAATCAACTTCGACTAGAACTCTGCCACTCAGAGTAGTATATATCAAGATGGCGAAGGATAGGTGGAGGCACTCACTGTGGCAGGTAGTGATGATGCGTCTCAATGTTGATTACAGAGAGAGAGAGAGAGAGAGAGAGAGAGATAAATATGGTAAGGGATTTGGAAGTCGTTCTATTGTTGTGGTGGGCGGAGCGCTGGTGAATGGATGACAGTACGAGGATGGGTGGTAGTAAAGGAGGCACTAGTGTGGGTGGTAGGGTGGCACTAGTGTGGGTGGTAGGGTGGCACTACTGTGGGTGGGTGGGTGGCACTAGTATAGGTTGGAGGGGTGACTAGTTTTAGGGTTGGCACTTACTGGAGTGTGGGTGGGTGGGTGTGGCATTGATGTGTTTGTGATGAAAAGTTTAGTGAGTGGAGGTAACACCTGCTGTTGATGGTATTGGTATTAGAAGGGAGGTGGTAGTGGTGGTGGTAGAGCTGGTAGTAGTGGTGGTGGCAGCTATGGGGCGGTATGGTGGTAGCAGCTGTGGTGTGTGGTGGTAGCAGCTAGCAGAGGTGAAGTAATAATTGGTAGCAGCTGGTGGTAGTGGTGGTAGCAGCTGGTGGTAGTGGTGGTAGCAGCTGGTGGTAATGGTGAGCAGCTGGTGGTGATGGTGTGTAGCAGCTGGTGGTGAAGGTAGTCGTAGGAGGAGCTAGTGGTGGAGGTGGTGGTAGTCGTAGGAGCTAGTAGTGGTGGAGGTGGTGGTAGTCATGCTAGGAGCTTGTGGTGGAGGTTGTGTGTGGTAGTCGTAGGAGCTAGTGGTGAGGTGGTAGTGGTAGGGCTAGTGGTGGTGGTAGTAGTAGGAGCTTGTGTGGTGGAGGTGGTGGTAGTAGTAGGAGCTTGTGGTGGAGGTGAGGGTGGTAGTGGTGTTAGGAGCTAGTGGTGTGGTGGTAGTGGTGGGAGCTAGTGGTGGTGGTAGTAGTAGGAGCTGGTGGTGGTGGAGGTGGTGGTAGTAGTAGGGCTGGTGGTGGAGGTGAGGTGGTAGTGGTAGGAGCTAGTGGTGGAGGTGTGGTGGTAGTGGTAGGAGGCTGAGTGGTGGAGGTGGTGGTAGTAGGAGTTAGTGGTGGAGGTGGTGGTAGTAGTAGGAGCTAGTGGTGGAGGTGGTGGAGGTAGTAGTAGAGACTGTGGTGGTGAGGTGGTAGTAGTGGGAGGCTGGTGGTGGTGGTGAGGAGAATTTGGTAGTAGGAGGAGTTAGTGGTAGTGGTAGTAGTAGGGCTGGTGGTGGAGGTGGTGGTGAGTGAGGTAGAACAGTGGTGGAAGTGAGGTGGTAGTGGTAGGAGCTAGTGGGTGGAGGTGGTGGTAGTGGTAGGAGCTAGTGGTGGAGGTAGTGGTGAGTGGTAGGGCTAGTGGTAGTGGTAGTAGTAGGGAGCTAGTGGTGGAGATTGAGGGTGGTGATGGTAGGAACTAGTGGTGGTGGTGTGTGGGAGGTAGTGAGGTGGAGGTAGTGGTAGTGGTAGGAGCTAGTGGTAGTGGTAGTAGTAGGAGCTAGTGGTGGAGGTGGTGGTAGTGGTAGGAGCTAGTGGTGGAGGTGGTGGTAGTGGTAGGGAGCTAGTGGTGGTGGTAGTAGTACGGGAAGCTTGTGGTGGAGGTGGTGTGGTGGTGAGGGCTGGTGGTGGAGGTGGTGTGGTAGTAGGAGGAGCTAGTGGTAGTGGTAGTGGCAGCTGGTGGAATTGAGGTGGTGGTAGTAGTAGGTGGTTGTGGTGGTGGTGGTAGTGGTAGGTGGTTGTGGTGATGGTAGTAGTCGGAGGTTGTGGTGGTAGTAGTAGGGTTGTGGTGGTACTGGTGGTGGATGTGGTGGTAGTAGTAGGAGCTAGTGGTAGTGGTAGTAGTAGGAGCTGGTGGTGGAGGTTGTGGTAGTAGTAGGTGGTTGTGGTGATGGTAGTAGTTGGAGGTTGTGGTGGTAGTAGTAGGAGGTTGTGGTGGTATTGGTAGTAGGTTGTGGTGGTAGTAGGATGTTGTGGTGGACGCTTCAAACGCATTTAACATACTTAACCGCAAGGCTGCACTGCACAACATCACGATCAAGTGTCCAAGCTTTGCAATGTATGTTGAAAACACCTATAAGAATCCATCAGACCTTTATACAGTTAACAACAAGGCTCTAAGAGGGGATACCATCATACAGTCAACAGAGGGAACAACGCAGGGGGACCCTGTTGTAATGGCAATGTACGCAATTGGCCTATCCGTGCTCCAACACACAATAAAATTTGAAACAACCGAGGTCAAGCAAGTGGAGTATGCTGATGACCTTACAGGAGCAGGAAAAGTGGAGGACATCAAAAAGTGGTGGGACATGGTAACATCACGAGGCCCACAAATAGGGTACTACCCAAACGCCAGCAAGTCCTTCCTCATTGTAAAGCCAGAACATTATGAACGGGCAATGGAGGTGTTCGGTGGAAGTGAGGTCAAAATAACAAAGGATGGCCAAAGACAACTAGGCGCAATAAGCGGCACGACGGACTTCAAGACCGATTAGTAACGGGAAAGGTGAATGAATGGGTTAGGGAAATCCAAGCTCTGTCTGATATTGCTAAAACAGAGCCACATGCGGCTCTTACGGCATTTACCCATGAAGTCAAGCATTGCTGTAACTACCCTGATGCGCACTATACCTGATATCGGACCCCTCCTCCACCCTCTGGAAGAAGCTATCAGCGTCAATTTCATTCCCAAATTAGTGAAACATCTTCACCTAACCCCAGCAGAAAGATTACTCCTTGCACTACCACCGAGACTGGGAGGAATGGGATTGACCAATCCAGAGGAAAATGCTGCCACCGAACATCAAAACTCAGTTAAGCTCAAGGCAGCCCTCACGGACCACATAATAGCTCAGAACGCAACAGGTGAGGTGGATAACAGTGAAGTAAACAAGATCCGAAGGTCCATTATGACAGAACGACAGCGCTGCCAAAGTGATAAGTTGCAGCAACTGATGCTGCAAGAACCAGAGAATTTGAAGAAAAAAAAGTAGCTATAGAGCAGGAGGTGGGCGCCTCGAACTGGTTAACTACGTTACCGACAAGGGCAAATGGTTTCAGTCTCAATAAACAAGAATTTACAGATGCCATTGCTCTCAGGTATGGTAGGCCAGTAGAAGGTTTGGCCTCCCAATGCGTGTGTGGCTCTTCCTTTGACGTCGATCATACCATGGTGTGCAAGAAAGGGGTTTCATATGCATGAGGTAAGACGAAGTAAGGGATCTCACAGCAAATATGTTGAAGGAAATCTGCCGTGATGTCGGGGTAGAACCGACCCTCCTTCCATTGGATGGTGATAATTTCCAACATAGGACTTCAAACACACCCAACGAAGCCCGTGTTGACGTCAGTGCTCGAGGATTCTGGACGCGGGGACAGCGAGCTTTCTTCGACATCAGGATTTTTTATCCCATGGCCGCATGTCACTGTAACCTAGCTCTCGATGCTGCACACAAGAGGAACTAGAACGACAATATAAGGGCATATGGGGAGAGAATTCAGAACGTTGATCAAGGCAGCTTCACTCCTCTAGTGTTCACAACCTCTGGTGGGATGGCACCAAGTGCAAGATGCTTCTACGCCAGACTCACGGAGGTGATATCCGAACAGAAGCAGCAGCCCAGAAGTTATGTTACAGCCTGGATGAGATGTCGACTGTCCTTCTTTCTCCTTAGGTCTGCTTTGTTCTGCCTCAGGGGAACAAGAGCATCGGCCCCAAAGCCGACAACAGCTGCAGATATTGACTATGAGGCTACACTCACTGAATGCAGCATAGATCTGCGGCTCAACTAACTCAACATTGCTAGGATGGCTACTTATGTATTAGGATATTTAATATTAAGGTAATAAAATGGCGGCGAAGGTGTGGCTATTGTGGGAGGCTGAAGGCCACTCTAAAAAAAAAAAAAGTTGTGGTGGTAGCAGCAGCAGCTGGTGGCTTGTGGTGGTAGCAGCTGATGGTTGAGGTGGTAGTAGTAGTAGTAGCAGCAGCAGCTGGTGGTTGTGTGGTAGCAGCTGGTGGTGGAGGTAGCAGCTGGAGGTGGTGGTGGTGGTAGCAACTGGAGGTGGTGGTAGCAGCTGGTGGTGGAGGTGGTTGTGGTGCTAGTAGTGATGGAGGTGGTTGTGGTGCTAGTAGTAGCAGCTGGTGGTTGTGGTAGTAGTAGTAGTAGCAGCAGCAGCTGGTGGTTGTGGTGGTGGTAGTAGTAGGAGGAGCTGGTGGCGGTGGTGGTTGAGGCAGTTGCTGGTCACTCATCGCTCAGCAGGCACGGGGAGCGGACACGAGTCGTTCCTTGGCGTCCTCAGTCACCTAGCCTCGCCTCACCTAGCCTCACCTCGTTTCGCCTCAAAGACAGGACAAGTAAATAACTCACCACCAAATTATTTCCTCGTCCAAACTTTCGTCATCGTCATCCTCGGATTTAACCAACTCACTTTATACGACAGTTTACAGTGAAGTGCGACGAACTTTACCAAGACAGACGTGACTTGATGTAAACATTACGGAAATAATCTACAACTTAACAAACTGTGCTGCTATCGGTGCCTTTTAACGCGGCATAATTAAGTGAAATCTTTTTTTTTTACCAATTAAAAATTAAATGACCTGATTCACGTCGAATAAGATGCCAAAAAAGTATTTATTACCCAGTGTGTGAAAAAAAAAATAATGGTTCCCGCCAATGCCATCATCTGACACTGTTTGATGATTTTCCCGCCGTCATTTAGACTCCTCTACCTGGTGTGATTTTATTATTAATTTTTTTTCCGTATCTAATAACAGGTGACTGTGGCCTCGAGCGTCCTCCCCAAATTTCATTGTCGGTGACCTTTGGCAATTGTGAACAGTTAATTATAGTCCATTGCGTCAGGCTTGGGTTAATTAGTCTATTGCGTCAGGCTTGGGTTAATTATAGACCATTGCGTCAGGCTTGGGTTAATTATAGTCCATTGCGTCAGGCTTGTGTTAATTATAGTCCACTGCATCAGGCTTGGGTTAATTATAGACCATTGCGTCAGGCTTGGGTCAATTACAGGCCATTGCGTCCGGCTTGGGTTAATTATAGTTAATTGCGTCCGGCTTGGGTTAATTATAGTCCATTGCGGCAGGATTGGGTTAATTAACTCTGCCTGTTAATTATCATACCTAGTTAACTCAACCTGTTATCATACCTAGTTAACTCTGTTCATTATCATACCTAGTTAACTCTGTTCATTATCATACCTAGTTAACTCTACCTGTTAATTATCATACCTAGTTAACTCAACCTGTTAATTATCATACCTAGTTAACTCTACCTGTTAGTTACCATACCTAGTTAACTCTACTAACAATTTCTAACTTGTTTATAAATTTCTAAGTATATTTTTACCCGCAGTTTACTTAATATGCTTTACTTAAACAGTTTAATTATAGCTGGTATTTTACATTATAGTTAACCTCTTGAGTACAATGAATTAATTCCTTGAGTACGATGGCATAACCCCTTCAGTATAACGTCTTAATCCTCTGAGTACGACGTCTTATTTCCTTGAGTACGATGGCATAACCTCTTGGGTACGATGACTTAATTTCTTGAGTACGACGACTTAAACATTTCAGTACGATTTCTCAGGGGGTGAAACGATCGTACTCAAGGGGTTAATTATCGTACACAAGAGTTACACAAACTTAATCAAAGGGTTAAACCATCATAATGAAGGGGTTAAGCCATTGTAATGAAGGGGCTAGTTATCATAATCAGGGGGTTAAACTATCATAATCAGGGGGTTAAACCATCATAAGCCGAGGGTTAAACTATCATAATCAGGGGGTTAAACCATCATAATCAGGGGGTTAAACCATCATAATCAGGGGTTAAACTAAATCCATAATCAGGAGGTTAAACCATCATAATCAGGGGTTAAAATCATAATCAGGGGTTAAATCATCATAATCAGGGGTTAAAGCTATATAATAGAGTTAAACTATCATAATCAGAGAGTTTAAGAAACTATCATAATCAGGGGTTAAACTATCATAATCAGGGGTTAAACACTATCATAATCAGAGGTTAAACTATCATAATCAGGGTTAAACAGGGGGTTAAACTATCATAATGAGGGGTTAAACTATCATAATCAGGGGTTAAACCATCTTCATCAGGGGGGTTAAACCATCATAATCAGGAGGAGTTCAAAGCCACTTCACTTAATCTTCATCAGGGGTTAAACCATCTTCATCAGGGGTTAAACCATCATAATCAGGAGTTAAACCATCTTCATCAGGGGTTCAGGGGGTTAAGCCATCTTCATCAGGGGTTAAACCATCATAATCAGGATTAAACTATCATAATCAGGGAGGTTAAACTATCATAATCAGGGGTTAAACCATCTTCATCAGGGGTTAAACTATCATGATCAGATGGGTTAAACCATCTTCATCAGGGGTTAAACCATCTTCATCAGGGGATTCAAACTATCATAATCAGGGGTTAAACTATCATAATCAGGGGTTAAACCATCTTCATCAGGGGTTAAACTATCTTCTCATAATCAGGGGTTAAACTATCATAATCAGAGGGTTAAACCATCTTCATCAGAGGTTAAACCATCTTCATCAGGGGTTAAACTATCATGATCAGAGGGTTAAACCATCTTCATCAGGGGAGTTAAACCATCTTCATCAGGGGGTTAAACCATCATAATCAAGTGCTTAAATTAACACTGGAAGGTACATAAACCCGAAGACCCTCCTAAACCACATTGTAAACACCGGCCCGAACAAGTATGCCTTTAGGAGGAATGGGGAGGGAGGGGAAGGGGAGGAGAGGGGGGGAGGGAAGGGGAGGGAGGGGAAGGGAGAGGAATAGGGTGAGGGAGGGAAGAGGGGGAAGGGAGGGGAAGGGAGGGGGACGGAGGGGGGGAGGGAGGAGAGAAGAGAAGAGAACAAAGGGAGTGGGAGAAAGAAGGGAGGGAGGGAGAGAGGGGGGGAATGAAACGCAGTCCGAGTAGGGGAGGAGTGGAAAGGGGGTAGAGAAAGGGAGGGGAGAGTTAAGGGCAATAGGAGGAGGAGGAAGAGGTGGAGGGAGAGGTGTAGGTGGAGAGGGGGAAGGAAGGTAAGAAAAGAAAGAGGGAGCAGAAAGCAGGAGAGAATGAAAGAGAAGAGGGAAGGAAGAAGAAGAAGAGAAGACCTCCCTTTCCTCTCACTTCCAACCATTTGAAAATAAAACAAAAGACGTAATTTGTGTTTTTCTTCAATAATCAAGAACCATTACCGACCTTACCTGTCTGATAATGTTAACTCAGGTGAGGAAATATTCTCCTCACTAACAAAACGACAGAAACATAAGAAATGAGTTTTGGCGCCAAATTATTAAAATGTAAATAGAAGGAAAAAAATATAAAATGAAAACAAAATATTGAAGTGAAAATACGACTATAATTTTGAGTGTAATTTTTTTTTTCTTCTGTATCGCTAAATTATCGTTCAGTTACTGGAGTGAAGGGAACTGAATAAATACGAACAATAAAGAAAAATGTGTTAAGGATCGTGAAGCTGGCAACACTGGGCTACTGTAAACACCACCTCCCAGATGACCACCCTCGGGGAGTCTCCTCAGGAAGCGCCAGCCATTTAAACTCTCCCCCCAAAACAGGTAAGGTTTTTTTTTTTTACTGTTTTAAACTTTTTTTTTATTTTACAATATTTATATATTCTTATGTAATGTTGTTTTATTTTTATTTTTTTTCAATTAGTATTCAAAAACTCATCTAGCAAATTAAGGGGGGGGGGTAATGGTGGGGAAATCGGGGTGGGTGGGTGGGTGGGATGGGGGATAATCGGAGAGGAAGAAATCGGAGGGGTAATCAGAGGGGAAAAATGGGGAGGGAATCTACCTAATAGTGGGTTACTGTACTATTTGAACTACCATAAAATTAATGTACTACAGGTATTTGAAAAAGAGAATACATAACTGTACTATTTAAATAACTATTACTGTACAATAATCAAATAGGTATTAATGTACTCTTATGGTAACTGAACATAACACGACTATTTACATTACAATACCCTCACTCCCGTCCTACCTAAATCACTTTTATCATAATACTAAAAATAACATTAATAAGGGTCTAGTTTATTCTACTGTATTTTTGTAGTTTATTTACCATACATTAATGTCTCTAAATCATTATGGGTAATTAAAAACCTTGGAATTAGGAACAAAACTGGAATGGTGACGTCATATGTAGGAATGCTTAATGTGGGTTGTGGGAATATTATTATTTTTGAATTATTATGTCTGTTTTCTTCTCTCCCTCCCTCTCACAGTCTCTATCTTCTTCCCTCACTTATTCTCTTCATCCTTTACCTCACTCATTCTTTCAGTCCTTTACTCTCTTCTTCTCTCTCTCTCTCTTCTTCCCTCTCTCTGTCCTTCCATCACTCAGTCCCTCCTTTATTCTCTCTATCTTTCCTCCCCCATCCCCTCCTTCCCTTCCCTTGCTACTTCCCTCTCTCAGTCCCTCCCTCACTCAATCTCTCCTTCTTTTACTTTCACTCCCTCCCTCCGTCACTCACTTCATCACTCTTGCCCTGTCCCTCACTAACTCTCCCCCCAACTCCCTGCCTCGGCTCTATATTTATGGACTTGCAGAAATGGTCACTTTACATATTGTATTAGATCATGGTGACGGATATACTCTTTCTTTATCTCTGTCTGTCTGTGTTTGTCTGTAAGTCTGTCTGTCTGTCTCTCTTTCCCCCTCCCTCTCTTTATATGTAATATATATATATATATATATATATATATATATATATATATATATATATATATATATATATATATATATATATATATATATATATATAATTATAAATTAGAACTAGGTAAATGGGTTTATATCTGAACTAAAAAACACCTTTGCTACCTGTCCAGAATGTAATTACTAACTGTACAAAATTCCAACAAAACAGACAAACACCTAATCTAAATACCTTTCTATTTTTTTCTTCATATATACAGAGAAAACTAAAAAATTATTCAACACATAATTTTTCTCCAGATTATTTATTTACACGGCTGCTCTAAAATAATTCCTCAACAGTAAAATTAAATGATTTGTTGGGGAATATTTTTTGGTGTAAGTTATTTTTTTTAAGATTTTCACCAAACTTAAAACAAAAAACGTTTTTTTTATCAAATTTCTTGCCAGTGACTTTCTCTCCATCCTCATCTCATTTAAATTGTTCAATATTTTGGTCACTTTTTATTATAATTAAAATAAATATAAAAATAAATATTTTGGGATTTATTTTACATGCATATATACATCTTGATAAAATCACACAGGGAAAAGGGAAACAATAGAGCACCTTAGACATGCAGGACAGTGGTTCATATACATTGGACGTTATATTCTAATTGAAGACTAACGAGTGTCCGTCTAACGATTAATAAAAAAACGTTTTATTGTTCCTTTTCTATTCTTTTTTTTATTCTCTTTCTTTATTATCTATTTCATTCTCTATATACTTGTGAGATGAGGAAGGTTATGGGTGGAGAGAGGGAGACTTGAGGCGGGCTGAGGGGTATTAAGGAATGTAGGCCCTCACACACCACGGGGAGACTAAGGAGGTGGGTGGCTGGGGATACTAGGACTAAGGTACAACATTTAACAAAGGGGAAATATGAAATAGTTATTACTTAGGACTCACTGTATTACTGCATCCCACTAAAGACACTTAGAACGGACAATACTCTACTCCATACACAGGGGAACTGAGAACTATCATAATGGTTCTTCGTTTATTAACGAAGTTACTCTAAATGAACAGTTACACTTCAAAACAATAACCTATCTTCCTAGCTAGCTAACCAGGGGTCACATGAATCACAACACATTTCGTGAAACGGATAAACCTAAAAGGTACTCACACTATACCTCGCCCTGTGAGGAGATGACACCCACACGCACCAACACTTAACTCTCCGTCTTTTTCAAACTGCGTCGCCCACAAAGGGACGTCACCTCTTCATGACGTCACGTCTCACAGATTTTCTTTTTGGTTAAGGCTTAAAGCATTCACCCTCACAGGTCCCTTGCAATTGGCTCGAACACTCACAACATTGTTACATCCGTTCACTTGCGAGGCGAGCATGCTAACCATTACACCACAGGTCGCCACACATACATACTGTACATCGACGAGTCCCAACACTCTACATAAACTCAGCAAAAGGCAAACTATACAACATTAAAAGAATTAATTTGTACAAAAAAAAACAGTCTCCAGAATGTACAAAAACAATATTTTATGATGATCATTACTCTATTTAACTAATACATTAATTCCTACTACGGCACGACGATATACAATTAGCTGGGTGAGTATGGTGATGATATAAATTATTATGGTATAGGTCACAGTATGGTGGTGGGGCCAGACTCACCGTCACACTCTTAATGTGTTAATCTGTGTTGTGGTTTGTTGTGTCAATACTTACTCAAAGGTTGTGGTTTAGCGATTTTTTCTTCATCCTTGTTTAATATATACTGTACGTGGAGGGGGGGGAGGTTAGGTTAGGTTTCTTCAGTCTCTCGCTCGCCTGCCCGACTTTCGTTATTCTTTCACTCTTTTTTACATATTCTCTGCCTCTTGATCTTTCTATCACTCTTCTCTATTGAATGTGACACTAGCAAAGACTTCAGGCCACCTGGCTTATTGTATCATGAACTATGTAATTATTACATTGAATCAGGAGTGCTTGAGGACATTGTTGCTGTTTATCCTAAATTTGCTGCTAGTCCACACTGATTAGTCCTCAAATAGAATATGACTTCTACTGTATATGAACCACTGTCTTGCGTGGCAGTGAACAGTGATATCACCCACACGACTCTGACCTATATATACTGTTAATGAATATGATGTATTTCTTTGTGTATGAACCTCTGTCCTGCGTGGCAGTGAGAAGTGATACCACCCTCAGTGTCAAGACCTGACTGAATTACTCAGGATAGGCAAACTGTACTACAAGCTTTGTCAATAAAGATGTTAACCGTAACTTTCTCTCTTTCTTTATCCTTCACTCACTCCTTTATATCTGTCTCTCTTTAGCTCTCTCTCTCTCTCTCTCTCTCTCTTCTCAGATCTAGTCATGACTCAAACCCCGTCACAGAACACAACTCTTGTTACCCTCAAGTAACTGTCTGGAAAATGTAACCTTACTTTCTATCTTTCCTTTTCCCATCAACATGACAACAGCAGTTTGGGTTTCAGATAATACCGCTGAAATAACATAACGGTAACCAGGACAACATACAATAGACTATCCCATGTACACCCTGAAGTGAAAGATACCATAATGTTTCGTCTGATTTTATTTATTTTTATACACGACCTTTGACAATCAGTCACCCATTAAAATAGTGGTTTAAATCATACGGTTATTAGCCACTCAGTGTAGACCAACAGGTGGGACATAAAATGGCGTCTGTTTATTCGGACAAAATATATTAATTCGGTTTGGATGTTTATCCCGGTGGAAAAATACTGTTGATAGAGGGGAAAATATGGTTCAGTGTGATTGCCTCGTGGACCAGAGTGTGTTGGTGTTGAGTGTGTGTGTGTGTGGTCAGTATGTGGTTTTTGAGTGTGTGTGTAGGGGGTTTGAGTGTGGGTTGTGAGTGTAAGTTAAGTGTGTGTCGAGATTGTGTTGTGAATGCCGAAGTCGAGAGAGAGAGAGAGTGTGTGTGTGTGTGTGTGTGTGTGTCGAGTGAGACAGTACTTACCACACAAACACATCATACACCACAAAAAACTCTACACAGTGAAGGTGGTGATGAAAGGGTAAACAAACGCGACACAACAGCTGCTGTACTAAAAGGTGCCACAATACATCACTTAACACACACACACACACGTCACGCCAACACAGACGACGAAGCATATTTTATCCAGAGTCTAATACTATACAAAATACTGTGGAGTTATGAGATATTGGTTCACACTCAGGATGGGATGGAGAAAGGAAACTCACAATGTGCTCTCTGTATACATATTGTATTGGATGTACAATGCAGCTTGGTGCTGGGGAGTGGCAGTGTGTGTCCAAGCGTGGTGTAGAGAGAGCTGGTTGGTGAGGGTGCTCAGAGGAGGACAGGCAGCTTGTGGGGCGCCATGGTCGCCGGCGGGAGCGAGGGCCACCAGGCAGGAGCGGAGGAGGTGTTGCTTGCTGGTGGCTGTAGGTAGAAAGAGGGCAGTCACGGCCACGTGAGGTCTTATATAGCGGGGGTAGGCGTGGGTTGACAGTTGACCTCCGCTTTGTTAGACAGCGCTGGTTACCGACCTAGACCACGAGGCGCAGGCTGGGGAAGGCTGGGGAATTCGAAGAGGATCAGCTAGTAGCGACAAGACAAACGGCGTTTGTAGGGGAGGAATCCACTACAATACTCTCTCTCTCTCACTCTCTAGTTAAATAAGAATAATACCTTTTTCTGTTGTATTTTCGATATTTATGTGTGACTCTTAAGATCAAATTACCACACCTGCATACAATACATATATATACTGTATAATGTATACATATTTAAAATACATCTATAACGTTGAACGAAACGAAGTGGGAAAGTTTTGACAACACACAATGAC